CGCCCCGCCGCCGGACTACTCCCCCCCGAAGACCACCACTAAGCCCCCCCAATCCCTGGCCACGATCTGCTCGAATCCAGCTCCGCTGGGCCTGCTGTCCGTTCCTCATGCCCCTTAGGAACCAGGGTGGGGGAACCCTGGGGTTCGCGGCCATCCCTCTCCCTCCTTCTCCAAGGGCCAGGGGATTGCCCCTGATCCCGAAATCTGGCCCCGTAACCGGAGCCTCCCTCCTTTCCAGCCCTCTGCTTTCCTCTCAGACCCCTTGCCTCCAGGCCTGGCGCGAAGCGGGTTGAGGGCTTGCAAGCCGGGTCTCCCACCAGGCTCGCCGGGGCCAGTATGAATTGCCCCCATCTCATCCTCCTTCAATTTGAACACCCTCCCCGCCTCGCCTGGCCCGGTAGCCCCCGCCCCTAGAGCGAGGGCAGCGGAGCTTGGGCGCTCCGAAGTCATCCCCCGCCTTTTTTCCAGGGACTCGGATAATTGCCCCTGCCCCCATCACAGCACTCCCACTCCCGAACCCAGGCCCCGCCGCCACCTAGGGGTACCCCTTACCCTACGGTTCCTGCACCCCAGAACAGGGGAGAAAGCAACCCTGAGAAAGCACCCGTCGCACCTCCACCTCTAAGGTTGGAGGGCATTTTCTCCCGGTCTCTTCAAGACTTCATCACGGACACCCCCCCCCCCCAAAAAAAATAACAAGCCCTTTCTCGCCCTGCCCTGTTGGCCAGGTTCCCTTCGGATCGTCGGATCCTTGGATCAGGGTTTGGGGCCAGGTAGTTCCAAGACCATAGCCTCCACCTCCCTTTCTGTGGAGTGGGGTAATTCCTATGGTTCCCCCCTCCAGTATCTACCGACCCCCGTTTCCATGGAGACCCCCGCCCAGCCGAGAGGAAGACTCTCTTGGATCGTGCTGAACAAGTCTCACCTGGCTAAAAGAGAAGGAGGTCGAGAAGGGGATAGGGCAGGGCAGGGATGGGGTACGAAGGTGGGAAGTGGAGGGGAGCTGTCCCGAAGGGAGGGGCGAGGACAGAGAGAGCTCTAGGGAGCTCTACGTCCGGGGACACGGAGAGGACGGCGCCCCCGGGGGGCAAGCTGAGAGGCTGAGGGGAGAAGAACGGACAGGGTTGGGGAAAGGCTTAGGATAGAAAGAAGCGGGTGGGGGAATACGAAAAAGCCGGGGAGTCAAAAGGGGTGGAGGGGTTGGGGGAGAGAGAAAAAAGACGCACCTGTTCCCGGGTCGGCTCCGCAGGGAGGCTCAGGCCGCCACCCGAGCTCCCTCTCACCCTCTTTGAACCACCACCCGCCTAACACTGCTGGGATCCGATGCCCCCCTCCGCCCCTTATCGCCACCGACCTCCTTCTCCTCTCACGGCGGCGGCGGTCGGACTCTAGGAACTGAGAGGAAGAAGGGAGGGCTCAGCAAAGCCGAGGAGAGACAGAGCCACACACTGGCAGCGCCGCGGCGAGCGAAAGAGTGAGGGGGAGAGCGGTGTGTGTGTGTCTGTGTGTGTGAGCGAAGCCTGGTGGAGTGGGTGCCGGTCGCAGAGCTCGACGGGAAGTGAAGTCCGGCCTTGTTCGCGGGCGGCGCCAGCCAGCGCTGCAAGATACTACAACTCCCAGAATGCTGCCTAGACGGGGGGGGGGATGGGGAGGAGGCGGCGAAGGGAGGGAGTAAGCATGAGAGGGAGGGACTAAAGCTGGGAGCAAGCGGCGGCGAAGGGGGCAGAGCCAAGCAGCCCCGGTGACACTGGGAGGGGAGGGGAGAGGAGGAGGAGGAGGAGGGGATCGCTGAGAGAACCGAGCGGATTCCGGAGAGGGAGGCAGTGGTAGCTCGAAGCAAGCTGGGCAAAAAGATAGACTCCCAAGAAAGGCGGAGGCACTCAATCCTCGGGGCTCCAAGAGCTCCACGCCCCCCACCCCGACGCCCCTCAAGAGGGAGGTTGAGGAAGGGAGATGATCAGGGTGCCGAGGCCAGAGGGTTGGTCGTCTGCCTTCCTTCCAACGTTCTCCACCTTATGCCCCGACCTGACTTTCTCAGGCCACTAGTGACAGAACCAGGGTGCAAATCACTCTTTGAACCATCCCCAGACCTCCCCTGCCCCGGTACCACAGAGCACACGTATTCAGTCCCCTTTTCCCAGGAGCCTGAGGGAGGCTCCCCTTGCAAGCAGGGTGTGACTCTTCCATTCTTCCCGCACCCCCCCTCCTTGTCGTCGCCACCCTCCATCTCCTTCCCTGGAACCCTCCCCGAAGCTGGGGCTCGCCTTTCTCTCCCCACCAGGGAAGAATCCCTCTGGGGGCGACTACTCACCCCTACTCTTACACTGGGCCCCAACCCACCAGCATCCCCTTAGCGTTGTCCCCCTCACCGAAGTAATAGTGGGGGCGACCGGAGTTGAACTGGTGTGTGTCTACTTTTCCTCCGACACTAGCTGTCCTTCGCCACGCCGACCCTGTAGAAAGACAGAGAAGCACATTAATGCTCCCGTATCCCACCCTCCACGTTCGAGTCCCTATAGAAATGGTTCGTAGTAAGGAGGTCGGTAGTGGAAGTGAGCTTAGAGTGAATCCCAGTCCTCAAACCCCATTCTAGTCCTGAAAATCCAGGGATCCGTCCTTTTCCTTAAAAGCCATCAAAGAGCTTGGAAGGGAGGGTTAAATTATCTAAAGCCCAATGTCCACACGACGCCAAGCGACGTTACCTCACACCAATGTGATACAAACTAGGCTGCCCCCAAGGGAGGGAAAGTGCAACCCCCGACGCCTTCCACCCCTCAAACGCATACCCCTAGGAGATTCAGATGGCCAAGGATGAGGGGGAGACGGAAGGGGTGCTGAAAGAGTGAAAGGATTGGGGTGGGGAGGGTCCATGGCCCCCAAAGAGCAGAATCCAGATGCTAAGAGGTGGGTGGGGGGTGCGGCATATTGCAGACGGCGTCTTTCCTCAGTTTTCCGGGAATCGCCACGGAACACCGTCTAACACTGGGAGTTGCTTACCAACCAGTCAGTCCCCTAACCCCATTTGTGCGCATAAGGCGGCCCGGAGCCCAGCCGGGAAGCCCGGGCACAAACTCCGCGGAAGCTGGCCTTCGCCGCCGCCGCCGCGCTGCCTCGGGCCTCCCTCCCTCCGCTCTCGGCCCCGCAGATCTACCTTCGCCCCCGGCCGAGGCCAGACCCCGCTCGCAACTCCACGCCCCTACTCCACCCCCTGCTCTCCCTCCCCTCGCCCTCTCCTCGCCGGTCGGGCCCAGCCCCTAGCGCCGCCCCGCCCTAGCGCTCGGTCCGGAGCCCAGCAAGTGCCCCGAACTCGCCCCCCGCCCCCACGCCCAGGCCAGTCAGGCCAGGCCTGGTTTCCCCCCTCCCGCTGCGCCCCGCCCCCCGAATCCACGTCCTACTTCGCCACCCAACTCGGCCCGGTCCGGGTTCGGCCCGCGCCCACGCCACCGGAGTCCGTGGTTCGGTCCGGTGTACGGTCACCCACCCCGCCCTTGCCTGGGTGCCGGCCTGCCTGCCCTGGCTAGCCCGCCCAAGCGCGCGGTCCCGGTCTTGGTCCGGGTCGGGGTGCCGGCCTCGGTCCTGGCGGCGTTGCAGCGTCTCCACGAGGGCTCGGTTCACGCAAGATCCGAACCCGCTCAGGGTGGGGGCTGCGGAAAGCAAGTTTCTTTATCCTCCCCCCCCCCGCCCCCGCCGCAGGGCCACGCCGTTCCCGCCCCCGTCACAGCGCCCCCTTCACCTGGGCAGAGCCCCCTGGCTGCTGTCGCAACTTTGCTCTTCTCCACACCGCCCGGGAAGCGGGCGAAGCGGGAGTAGGAGGGAGGTGGCGGCGAGGGGGGGGGGGTGCTGGGATCAGGCCGCTGGGCTCCGGGAGGACACGTGGGGGAGGAGGGGAAGGAGGAGGAAGAAGGGGGCGGGCCTGCAGTTCTCGGGGCTCCCCCCTACCAGCCCCGGGGAAGCCGGAACCTCGCCGGGCAGCCGCAGACCCCGCACTGGCCACGGGGGAAGAACTGAGCCACCTTCCCCGGTCAGCCCTCCGCTCCAGGAAGGAGGGGGGGGTGCCGCAACGCCGTTCGGGGTCGGAGAGCGATCGTTTTCGCTCTGGTTTTATATGTAACATGCTCTCCCCGTTTTTTGACTCGGTCTCTGTAGGAGGGCGGGGGTCTTGCCTGAGGGGAACGCCCCCGCCAGACACCCCGCCCTTCCTCCGGTCCCCCACCCTTGGCGACCTCCGTGCGTGGTTCTGGCGCTCCAGAACTCAGGCCGCGCTCAGGCGAAGCCCCAGCCCGGGCGCCGAAGTGGGACAGGTGCTAGGGAAAGAAAAATGCCTACTCTTGTCGCCTCGTCTCGCGACTCCCGCTCGGCCCACTCTTCGTGGCAACCTCCCAGGCTGCAAAAACCTTGGGTCACCCTCAGTGGACATCCCTTGCTTGGGTGTGGAAGCATCTGGGTTGGCGGGGAGACCTGAGTGGGGAAGAAGGGGGACGAAAGGTCTGTAAAGAGAGAGCTTGCAAGACTTGGAGAGAAAAACCTGGCTAGAAGAGTACCAAGGGCTTGGTTTCTGCTTTCTTTTCCTCTGGGCTCTCAAGACACCAATCTGAGCCCCCTGACCCTTCCCCTTTACCCTAAGGACTGCCCGCTGGCCAAGGGAATAAATCCTTCCTGTGTTTATATCGCAGGCCATCCCTGGGACTTGAAGGGCTTAGAAGCCTGTGGTCCATGTTCGAACTCTGATGACTTTCCGTTAACTCCAGGGAGACAGGCTTTGCGAAGGAGATGAAGCTGCTGGCTGACTTGCTTTCAGTCTTAGGTTGTTTCTTAGCAGCTCCACCCCTGATCTGGTGGTGAGGACTTCGAAGGTATTGTCTCAACCCAGAGGGTATTGCGCGGGGGTGGGGGGGTGGGGGTGGGGGGGATGTCCAGCAGTTCCTAGAGGATTCTAAACAGAATGTGAAATAAATAACAAGAATCTGGAAAAATAATCTTTATGTCCAGATATATTGATATTATTTACTATATATTTATCTATGATAAGGAAGCCGGAGAGTCATTTGAACTAGAAGGAAGCCCTGCGAAATTAATATTTTTCTCTTCTCCCTCCCCACCACCCCCACCCCTACTCCCACCCCTCTAGGCCTCGAGGTTCCAACCCTAAGCTGGAGGGTGTCTTTTCTTTCCTTTGTAAGGACTTCACAGATGGCAGTTGAGACTTGCCTGCTCTGCTTCCCTCACCTGGTCTAAACGATGTGTATGAGTATAAGAGCAGCTAACTGAGGCTATGGTGGCTTTGCTGTTGTCTGAGATCTGGTGTTCTGTTACCCCTATCGCCTGTCCTCACCAACCTCAACACGAGTTGCCAGCAATGGAGTAGGGCCATCATATTTTGCTTGGGGAATCTCTTCACTAGTTATTTTACTTGGCCACACCTGTCCTCCAGTACCTATACACACACCTATTTAAAAAGTGTTTTGCACCAAGACACAGTGAAGATTCAGAAATATATTTAAGTTAATCAACATATGAACTCAATATGCATTACTTAACTGGGAAATCACCTCCATGTGGCTTGATATTGCAGACCCTGCTTTAAGTTGATTATTTTCACTGATTTTAATTATTCTGGTAATTACTAAATCGCCACTAATCTTAAGGCCCTAGGACCTTAGTGTTATTCTGCTCCCCATTTTGAGCACATTTTGGACACATCAGTTTGCACTAGTCTGCTTACCATTTGGCTGCATCATTTATCTGGCAAAATGAAGGTTGGGGGAAGATGGTTGTTTCCTGGGTGAAACGGTAGCTTTTTTGAGCCCTTTCCTGTTGGGGGCCAGACTTCCTGCCCTACAGGAGATGATGAGAAGCCAAGGATCAGTGTGGGGAGAGCTGTAGATATCAATGATTATTTTATCTGAGGCTAGCACTATAACATAATCATAATAAGAATATGCATCAAAATGTTTATAATGCCCTTTCATTTATGCTATTCTATTTGTTTCTCACTACAACTCTTGGTTTTGTTATTGAGGAAACTGAGTCTCTTAAGCATCTATGCGTGGCTTGCTCAAGGTCATCCAGCTAGTGAGTTTCTGAGCCAGGAACCTAGTAGTCCTGCCTCCACATCCACAGTTCCTTTCAATATCATACAACACTTTTGTTAAATGCCAAAACAGCCTTTTTCAGGAAGATCCTCTTTCTTGATTCTCCTATCCCTACCATGTACTGACCCAGACAGGACACTCAGAAAGGTACCTTAGTCCAATAGGAAGAAGATTGTTTAGGAGAAATATAACAATCAGAGTCTTGTCCTGTCTTGATAACTAACAGCAGGGACTAATATTTGACCAAGAAGTAGTGCCAGCCTGATGCCATGTACTTCGTGGTGTGTCCCTTCCCCCAACTCTAAAATACAGAACCAATGTACATGCTATATTACCCTCACTGGGACACCCTATGAGCACCATAAACCATCACACTCATGCAAGAGTTATTATCCACAATGGTCCACCACAGGCTATCTAGGTGTTAGCATAGAGACTTAGGAACAACACTGGATTGGGTCCTGCCCTCCTGACACTTGGCAGACAAAGGAGGGCATTTGAGGGTCCCAGGGTAATTGGGGCTCCAAACCAACCTTGGACTAAATCCACAAGGATAATTATGTTAATTCTCTGCTTTGTTCTGCAATCAAAAGCCTTGTCTCTCTAGTAAAACAGCATAGCCCTATGACAAAAAAAGAATCCTACTGATTGAAATCTTTAGAATTATCAGAATGAAGCAAATTGGGAGCTTCTGGTTGTCCCTTCCTTTTCAGCACCTCACTCAATTGAAGGTTAAGTCAGGTGTGGAAAGCAGCATCTCAGGACAGCAGAACGGTTCATTTTAAGTCACCCGGGTTGAAAGGGGATCGAGTAAGGGAGAGGGACATAAGAAGCCTGGGTGGGTATTAATGTATTACTATTTGTGTTCCCCGGTGTTTCCCTTTACACTCTGCCCATCCTCCATTCTCTCCGAACTCTATGTTCCATCCATGTTTCACTTTCTCGTTCAACATTCCATCTTGTTTCACTTTATGTTCCAGGGGCAGGTAGGGTTGGGGAGCGTTTCTTGCCCCGATTTGTCATTTGCAAATCTCAGCAAACAACGAATAATGAACCCAGGTGCAAGCAAGCTTAATGCTTGCAGATGCACTCCAGCAGCAGGTTGAGTGCTGCTGGCTAAGTGCTAGCTCCCTGAGAACAAACATGCTTGAGGAAGGCCAGGTCTCTGCCCTCTCTGCACCCCAGTCTAAACAGAGAGAGCTCGTGTCTGGTTAAACTTAACTCTGTAAACAGCCAACAAACTCTCTCGATTTTGTTGCCAAAGTGGGGAAAATGAGGAAGAGGGCTAAGATCACCTCAGAGACCTCACCAGGGCAAGCCACTCAATCCACTAACCTCTCCCCATTTCCCCTAAAACTAGATTAACAAATTGTTTTGTTGTTTTGTTTGTTTTTGAGACAGGATCTAACTGTATAGTCCTGATTGACATGGAGGTCACTATGTAGACCAGGCTGGCCTCTAACTCAGAGAGACCTGTCTGCCTGCCCCCTAAGTGCTGAGATTCAAGGCATGTGCCACCCAACGGGTCTAACATGGTTCTTAATCAAGCAAAACCTTGTAGCACAGGCTTGTAATCCCAACATTCAGGAGGCTGAAGCAGGAATACATTCAAGGCCCCAGTCTGGGCTACTTGAGACCCTGTCAGGAAAAAAGAAAAAACTGATGGGCAGTAGTGGCACATGCCTTTAATCCCAGCACTCAGGAAGCAGAAGCAGACAGATTTCTGAGTTCAAGGCCAGCCTGGTCTTCAGAATGAGTTCCAGGACAGCATGGACTACACACAGAGAAACTCTGTCTTCAAACAAACCACACAAAACCAAAACAGAACACCTAAAAACAGGTAGTGCTAAAGGTAAAAAGGATCCTAAAAAAGATGGGGCCTGGAGAGATAGCTCCGCAGTTAAGAGAACATACTATGGGCTGGAGAGATGGCTCAGAGGCTAAGAGCACTGGTTGCTCTTCCAGTGGGTCCTGAGTTCAATTCCCAGCAATTACATGGTGGCTCACAACCATCTATAAAGAGATTTAGTGCCCTCTTCTGACATGCAGGCAGAACACTGATACAAAATAAATAAATCTAGAGAGAGAGAGAGAGAGAGAGAGAGAGAGAGAGAGAACATACTACTTTTGCAGAGGACCTGAGTTCAGTTTCCAACAACCACATCAGGCAGCCACAACCATCTATAATGTCAGTTTGTCAGTTCCAGGGGATCAAACACTGTCTTCTGAGACTCTCTGGCACCAGCACTCACATGTATACAGAGACACATACATATACATAGAATTAAAAAGTAATTAAATCTTGAGAAAGAAGAAATGATGAACGTTCCTCAAAAAACTAGTTGTGGCTACTCACTAAAGACAAAATAAAGTCTATGAGCCTTCACTTGGCTTTCAGTGTTCTCTTAATTAGGCTGTGGTCTCCTTTA